TTCTTCTGATGCAGCCAAATATGGATGATTCCTGGAGTGTATGTGTGGATACTGACCCCATTATCCATCAGCAATCCATCTTCCCTATTAGAAGTACTGTCTGTTGGTGGATGCTGCTATGGAACTACACTAAAACATGTAGGGCTGTTCAGTGAGCCTCCTGCCTGCTGAATTCATACAGTGTCATTAAACAAGTTGATACTGAAAGGAATAGTCCTTTATGGTATATATCTTCTGTATGTATGTTGCAGGTCAGGCATGAATTACCTGAAGATGCATATCTCCTTGCAGGTTTATCTGCCTGTTTATTGTCGCTTCAAACTGTGGCACTTCTGGTTTACGCTGGTTAGCCATCCCTGGAGCATTGCCCTGCCCAAGGGGAAAATGGCTGTCCTTAAAACAGCCCTTTCTTGAACGGAGGATTTCCTTGTCTGAATGAAATACGCTCCTTGTCCGAATGCCTGTTCACCTGCATATTCATGCTACAGGTGTACAAACATCTAACCTGCTTCTGTTGGGGAAAATGCAAGACCCTGACCCCTGCAAGGGTGATGTTTGCTCCACAGGAAGCTTCCTAGCTCCCATAGCAATAGGGAGAGCTGTTTAGCTGCCTCTGGGTCTGCACTGCAGCCCTGCACAGCTCCCACAGACTTCTGTGAAGTCTGACAGCCACCAGAGCCTGATGGAGACTTCAACAGGGACTTCAGAAAGCCTATAGGGAAAACAAAAGCCTGAGATTTCAGCCCCTGTGAAATGGTTCGGAGCTATAGAGGCCTTGTGCTCTTTGCATGTTCTGGTTAGTGCAGGCATCAGTTATGGGATCTGCTCCGTGACTGTGGCTTCCATCTGGCAGCCCTCCCCACAAACACCCAGAGAGATGTTTGATGCAGGTCCTCCCAAGGATGTGACTCTGGCACTGCAAGGGAGGTTCCTGCACTAGGAAGGAAGGGTTCAAAACCACCTGGTACTCCACTGCCACTGAAACAAAGGGTTTATTCCCCTGCTGCTACAAAGGGCACCTTTCCTGGCAGGGCCGTTTGCAGTCTCAGCTCAGATCTCCTGCAGTGGTGGAGATCGCACTGCGACAGGATTTGAACCAGAGAGTTGCAAATTATTGTTACACTCGTCCTTGCTGATGGATCTAGAGCCTCGTGCCAGCTTTTCAACGTGTTCCAGCTGAGTAACTGCTCCCACTCAAGCTGGAGCAGAGACTGGTGCTGGGGGATGCTCTGCCTGTGCTCTGATTCCTTGTTAGGGTTCCTCGCTCTCTGTTGAAGAGGACCCTCTATGTTCTTATCACTCATCTTCACCATCCATGTTGTATAAAGTTTTCCCTTGGGGAGCCTCCTTCAGCTTCCCAAAGGAGATGTCTTATGTTCTAGGAAGTGCCTGGAGTTTTGAGGTTCTGGACTGCATAGTGTTATTGTCAAAACTGAGTTTATTCTGAACTGCTTGTACCTGTCTCCAGTTATTCTGCAGCAGCCTCTGTGAGAAGGCAGTTGCCTTTGTCCACCTGATGAGCAAGATTTTGTGCTCATGCTCCACTCTAGTGACAGGAAGTCACTCAATGACAGTGAGATCTCTGAATATTTATCTGATCTCTGGCAGGAGAACAGTTTCCTTCATTGCTTTTGGTTCCAGGTTTTTCCAGTTTCAAGTCAGAGAATGTCAGCCTAATTCCAGCAGAATTTCACCTGGTTGCTCAGCATACGTTTTAAAGGAGATACAGTTGACATCATGAAATAAGAGTTATTACAGCTGCCTTACCCATGAGCCCAGAAGGGTATCTTTGACTTGGTGCTAGAAGATTCAAATTATCTTCCCTTTGAGCATGTCAGGAACAAGCAAGAGGATTCACCAGAATCTCCTGCTGGAGATCTGTCTTCATGTGACTTTAGCTCCATAATAGATTCATATGTATTGCCTAACTGAAGTTCCCCAAGACAGGAGATCCAAGAGGATCTCAGAGGTTTTTTCAGGATTTGGGATGTGCTGAGGTCAATCTTTCAGTCTCCAGTGACAGCTAGAGTAGCTTCTTGCTGCCAGACCAATACTGGTGTTCCCTTTCAGATGTGTTCTTGATCATATAGTGGAGACCCAAACTGAACGTCCTTTCCCCATCCTCACTTTTGTTAAGGACAACAAGGCATGTACAAGAACATCATAAAATAGAAGATCACCTCACTAAAGCAGAAGTCTTTGACCTCTAAAGTCTTTGCTCTGCATCTCCCTGTGTTTTGGGGGGGGCTTTCCCACCCAGCCTGCTGACTCTTAAAGCAGGTATTTCCTCTTTTCTTTGGACCTGACCTCACAGGGGGCTCTTAAGCCTGCATTTTGTCTTCTTGTGTGCCTGTTTTCTGAGCTCAAACATACACGGACTGTACAATAAAGGCCATCTTTTGTTGTTTGCCTGGTAAATGACAAGTAACACTCATCCTAACTTCTCATTCAAGGTCACTTATGAGTTCTGATAAATAATTACTTTATCTTTTTTCCCTTAACATGGGACTTCCAGAGAGACCTGCTTGAATAGCTGGGGAAGTTCAGTGGGCCAGAGTCTTGAAAAGCAATCTTACCATTGTCAGTCATGACCACAAGAGGCATAAAAACATTACAAAGCCCTGGGACAGCCAGTTTGGAACAAATAATTGCTTTCTTGGCTTGCAACCAATCCTGTTCCCAAGTACCCTAGGTTCTAATAGCATTTTGTCATGTTTTGTTAATCAGAAATGGAAAAACATAGCACAACTAATCTCCAGGGCTGCCAAGTAAGATGTGTACATGTGATACTGAAAGACTTGGAACTTCCCAGGAGAAGGATCATCCAGTTCAGAAAGGTGCCTGGGGATTATGGAAACTTACTGCCCTGTCAGTGTGCTGACACTCCTCACCCTTCTTGTGCAGGCGCAGCCCGCAGCATGAGCTCTCACAGGGCCACAGAGATCATCCTGTGCTCGTGTTCCCTTTCAACACCTGTAATTTAAAGGCAGGCAGGCGGCTGAGTACACACCGGATACATAAAAGAGAAATAACATTGGAAGCACAACCTCTGTCTAGTTTGACAGGTTCAGCAATCAGGCTGTCACTTCCCGTAGCATGCTGTCCCAGGTCAAAGAGTTCCCTGTTCCCTGGCTGCAGTTTTGTTAGGACAGGGCTACAGCACCAAGTACACGTCCTGCTCATAACTCGGCACCCGGCAATTATTTATGGACTTTCTTCTGGGGAGAGTTTGCCTGGTTCAGAGGAAATAGGCTATGATTACGAGGAGCCTGGCAGGCAGGTGTTTCCTGTGATACCTAGAAAACCCCCGGATCTGACAGATCAAACAATCACCCAAATGCAAGACTGATGCTAAATTTCAGGCCTTTTACATATACTGATTGTTCTCTAACCTTTTTGCACAGCCAGGGTGACTGAAGGTATCTTGATTTAAAGATATGACTGTACAAACAGTCCCTGGCTGGTTTTGAGCGTGAGTTGATGTGGAGGAAAATCACTCTGCTAGGAAGTGGCTGAAATTTTTCCAGAAAGCAGGAGCATTCTGTGGCTATGAAAGTCGCTCACTGGTTAGATAAATGCAGCTATTACACTTACTGTATCTGTGCCTTCCCTTATCAAAACTACCACTGGAGGTTAACGAAGTGAAGGTAGCTGTGCCATTTTGATCTTGAGAGAGAAAACAAGGTCCTACAAGCTGTTGCCTTTTGCATGTTAGGTGAACGGGGCTTGAAGGCTCATAGGTGCAGATCTGTCATGACAGCGTAAGAGAAATCTTCCTCCAACCGCTGCTCTGCTTAAGCATCCATCTATCTGAAAAACAAACAACAAACTAAAAGCGACGCCTCGTGTTCCTCACTGGCTGTTCACTGTGTATTTTGGGGGAATTTATTATAATTTATTACAAGCAATTTACTGTCTAACTACTAGAAATAGCTGGAGGGAATTCCAACTTGCCTGAGGGACTCAGGCTGCTGCCTCAACAAGCATTTTGCCAGCTATCACTAACTACAGCAGTCGGCTGGGTTCTGCCATCCTCATGTCTTGGGTATGTGTTTGTAAAGCCTTCGGATGATGCAAAACCTCTTATTTCCTCAAGGACAAAATCAAGTACTAAAATACTGGATGGTGCAGAGGAAGAGAAAATACAGCCAGTGCTCCATGTCTCACTGTTGGTGTCTGCCCCAGTGCCTGGAGCACTGTAACAAGCCCCAGCAGCTGTGACAAGAGGACAAAGCAGTTCAGAAGCCTGCTCATGTGTTGGATCAGTGGTGACTTTACAAGATTAGGGCTGCCTATGTGAAGGTAGCCTCTGTCTGCCTTTGTGTGCTCACTGATGCTGGCTCATCTCTGGAGAAATACACAAATATGCTTGTGTGAATCCTCCTGTAGAATAAGTGTCTGTAACAGAAATATTTTGTTTACTGGTCTATACTGATCGGCTTTGTCTCTACCATGGTGGGCTGAAAGAACATTCACAGGCTGTCCTCTAAGATCCATCAACACAAATTCAGGCTCCTTTAACATAGCCCCTAGGGCTGTAATCTGGCCTTTGCTGTGTAAGCCACAGTGTGACATTTTGCTGATCTTGTAATCGCAAGGCAGCGGTCAGCAGTGATGTCAGGCTAAAAAGGTTACAGACACTGTTTGCCTTTTCACCATTGTTCAGCTTCAAGTCATTTCCCTGCTGAGGAGCTGAGAGAAGCTGGACCTTACAGGGGAGCGCTGTGGGGCCTGTTTTGGCTTTCACATCTGGTGTGCTGGTGCTTGACCTGCCCAGGGAGGACTGTGGTCAGAGCATAAGATTTTGTGCCAGCCTGTTGTCTTCTAGTGAGAGTTAGGGTAGCAGGCTTGTACCATGCTCCCAGGCTCATTAGGAGTAGCCCCTGAATTCTGCCCAGGGAATTAAAGAACAGATGCAGGCACACTGAATACCACCCCCACTAATATATACTCCAGAATACAAATATTGAAGAAACTACCCACCTAAAGTCATTGAAACATAATTATTAAAACCTTTTATATTACTCTACAGTACAATGTAAATTGTTCCTTTGAAATACAATTTTGAAATACACTAGATTACATCATTTAAATAATGGCAAACTTTTAAATTCATTATTAGTGGTAGCAGAGCTATATTTACATAGACTTCTATTTCAGATGCAGTGTTATGTTACAGTCCCTAAGCCAGTTAAATATCAGACTTTCAACAGGGTTATAGTGCTCTTCCACATGTTCTACACACACTTGGGGTATATGTGTCAGAGAACAAGAACTCCTTTCAGTCTTGCTTTTTTTTTTCTGTGTGCATGCAGCTGAATCTGAGCAAATTGATACCTACTTGATTTGGATTAAAGATGAAAGGCCTTTTTTTCAACAAGTATTTTGACTGAATATACAGAGGTGAGTAATGAAAGACAGTCCTTAGGAGTAGCAGCAGAAAACAATTACATCCAACTTGCATCCTCTGTTGCATAATACTGCACCTAATTTTGACCCTGACTTTACCTAATGCTGATGAAATATAGTCAATGGAAACCTCTCTCATGTTGTCAAGACTGGCTTTCAACACAATCCATGCAATGGCAAGCATCATACATCATTCTGCAGTGCAATATTAAGTTAAACTCAGTACTTTCCTCCAGAGATCTGCTCCCTGAGGGAAGCCCACCCCTATGTGTATATTAAAAACAAACAGGTTGTGAGTCCAGAGGCTGGGAGACCAGAATAGGGCTGTGATGCTTGCTTCCAGTGCTGCTCAGAGTCTTCATGGGCCAGGCTCCTCCCTTTGTTGTCCATGGAGCAGAGCAAGATCAAGCCACTGAGGCTCTTGGTGGTCCTCGCACATGGCACTGGTCAAGCCAAGTCTCCCTGCTTGCTGCCCGTGCAGGACTCAGGGCCTGGTGTGAGGGGTGCTGATCATGATGTTGGGCAGTGCGTTGCGCCGCTTCTTCCAGGAGCCCAGCTCCTTTGAGTACCGCCGGATTTGCCTGAACCAGTGGTGAGTCCGTGCCCGGTCGCTGTCCCGGAACACAAATGCCTCCCGCCTGATCTCAATGAGTTCAAAAGTGTCGTCACAGTCGGGGTCAGTGGACACAATGCAATTGCTCAGCCTTAAGGGCTCCCTGAGCAAATGGAACTTCCCATTATTTTTGTCCCTGATGAGTACCAGCACGGCGTCCTTCACGGGCCCTGGCTCAGCTGACTCCAGGCTGGACTCTGACACACGCTTCATGTTCACGAGGAGGAGGACCTGCATGTTCTGGAACTTCAGGGTCTTGCTGCCTTTCTTCACCCACTGGCCATCGGGGGGCTGGGCCAGCTGCAGAGACCCCTCCATCACAAATCTTGTTTCCTCCCGCAGCCAACCTACTGTTTTGAGGGCAGTTTCTCTCATCTCAATGTTGATGACTTCCCTCTTCTTCTTGCTGTCCTGGCGAAAAGATCGGAGGGTCCACATGTTCCCCTCCTGCTTGGTTTTCATGTTGATGTGCTCCAGGTGAGACTCAATGCGGCTCTTGGCCTCCCGCAGGCTGCTGTGATCTGGGTGGTATTCGGTGGTGGCCTTGATGATTCTGCTGAGCAGCAGCGGGTACTTGGTGACTCTTTGCAAAGGGGCCATTAGGAAGGACCTCAAGTTCATTCGCCGCAGTGCTGTGTTGTCATTCTGGGAGACATCAAGGAATATTCTGCAGGGGTTTAAGAAGAAAGAATGAAATGGTAGCTCTTCTGCCAGCAGATGCAGCAATCCTAAATGCAAACGAACAGTATGGTGCTGACAGCTGCTGGGCACTGCAGCCCCCTCTCTGGTTTTAAGAACCTTGAATGTTCTGTCTTCTCAAAGACCTAAGAACAATTTCTGCAACTGTGCTCAGCTCCAGAACAGTGATGAGGTGCTTAGGACACTAGTGCACAGCACCCTAGCAGTCCTCTATTAAATTGTTGTAAAACAACAAGGGTGTGATCTTTATCTGGTACACAGTGATGTAGGCCTAAGGCAGAGACATCATCTTGTATCAGATTACATTAATTGGTAGCTCCTTTCATCATTAGATTACAAAGCACTCTAAACAAGAATTCAGTACATTCAGCCTTTTAAGCTGTTGTAGTGGAAAGAAAGAATGACTCGCCTGACGTTGCCCAATAGGCCGGGGTAGGAATGGGAAACAAATTCAAGTCATGCATGCTTTACACGGTGGCTTTCCCCAGTGGAAATCCAAACTGTGCTCTGGTGCAGGGACTGAGAGCTGCTCTCAGCTGAGTGTTATTTGGTGACAGTTCAGCACAGTGGTCAGCGGGCAAACATTGCTACCACAAAGCACAATAAACAGTTGGGGACCAACTAGCTGTCTCAGTGGAGATATCAAGGATGAGTATCTTCTGGAGAATAAATTATTCTCCTCACAAAGAGAGCAGCAATAACTGGAGAACATTAACATCAAACTTTGATCCAGTTGAGCTGTCCAAGGCTTCACCCTCAGCCTGGTGCCTTCCTGTCCCCAAAGCCTGGAAGAATACGCTCAGCCCTTTTCTCACCTGAGGAGCTCTTTCTCCTTCTCCAGAGCGTTGAGCATATTCACGGAGGAGGACTGCTGAAGACAGTAGGTCTGAAAGGCTGGCAGCATGTTGACAAACTCTAGAAATATTTCACCGATGCACACGGTCATCAGGTCATCATCACCCTGCAAACACGCAATACAGCCCCCACGGGGTTAGTGCAGCAGAGGCACGAGCACAGAGCCTGCATTCAGTCCTATCAGCATGAAGCTACTGCAGGATATGGTGAACACCACACCAAAGGTGCAACTGGGCTCACCCTTCCTTGTGAAAAGGCAATTCCTGCAGGTTTGGGGGTAAGCAGTGTGTGGGGAGGGGAAGGGAAGCTGGGCTTACTGCTTTCTCTTCTACACACCAAAAGCCATCCTTTCTACTTCTGTGGGCTGAGCCAGCTCCCTAGAACAGAGGCTCAAAGGCCAGAGTGAGCCTGCTAGTCAGGAGGGTGTACGAGGGCCCTTCTCGCCAATAGGTCTGCCGTAAGCGTAATGCAGCAGTGCATAAGCTAACAGAGAGAATTTTGGAGCAAACGGGCAGGAGTAACTCAGATAAGAGACATGGCACTCCAACAGTTGCTCCAAGCAACTGGTCTGGCTGGGAAGCAGTCCCTTCAGTACTGGCTACTTTGATGCCTACATGAAAAATAAATTTCATGGTAAATTGTTATCTGATTTCTGGATGTGTAATAAAATAAGAGAATAGTGAGAATCTGGTGCTACATAATGCTCTTAGCTTTGTCGAGGTGTGTGCTGACATGCTCTGCACTCACTACTGAGTTCAGCAGCAAGAGAGGGAGGAGGTCTCTGGCTGCTGGCAGTTTTCTGGTGCAGTACTGAGCTCTGACTGCAAAGGAATCGTGGAAGAGGAGACAGGGAAACCCACAGCTGTTTGTAGAAGCCTTTGTTTCAATAAATTATTCACAGGGCATGTCTGTCTTCGCTGTGCCACATGCATGAGAGTGGTTTTCAAAGTTGCCAGGTTTTGAGATGTGTTGCTCAGTCTGACATGCAGGGTTTCACAAAGGGAGAAGAGGAATGTGTTTCCTAAAGAACAAACCATCTTGGTGAAACTGATACAGCAATAAGTGGGGTTTGGTTTCTTGAAGAAAGGAGGGTGTGGAGCTCATTACATGTCCTTTGCAGAGATTGCTGCCACAGAGCCTTATTTCTGTTTCTCTGCCTTCTGACCACCCTGCTGGTGGGGCAGGAAAGTTCCTTGTGCAAGGCAGGGTGCGTCAGTAGAAGCAACTTACAGCACAGAGCTGTAAAGACCAGTTGTCACTGGAGCAGGGAGCAGTCTGTGCTGCCTGGCCCCACAGCCAGAGTAGAAGCAAGCTGCAGTAAGCTGCAACCCAAGGCAAATATACCTAAGCCAGCCTGAAGTGAGCCAGCTCAGGGTTGCAAGAGCATGGCCTGTAAACCAGACCAAGCTAAGCTCTGTGCCCCTGTGGCTACACTCTTATCAGTGTCCAGGCTAACTGGCTTAAAGCTAACTTTGGTAATGGGCCAGTTAGGTCCTGTTAATGGGATAAAAAAGTTAGACTGCTGATGGCCTGCTAGTGTCAGTGGCATTACCACAGCAGAGAGTGAGGCCAGCAGCTGTGACCTGGCACAGAGCTACTGAAATCACTGGTTTACATAGACCCTACATGGACTAGATAGATGACCAGAACCCAGGAGTCCTACCTCCTGATCCTCTTGACTACCTATGCTGCCTCACTAATAAAAAATCCATTCCTGTCTGGCTCCTCTACAGCATGCAGCATCATACCTGATCAAAGGCCTGATCGATCTCTTCCTGAAGTATCTCCAGGAAGCTCTCATTGAGGTCGATGAGCTCCTGGATGTTGCTGAAGATGCCCAGGAGCTGCTCCTGGCTCAGCAGCCCAGCCGCCTGCATGGGGAGGTAGAACTCCTCTTTGATGATGCGCAGGTCCTCTCCATAGCTGGCCTCTGTGTTGACAAACTCCAGCACAGACTCCTTGCGCTCCGTCCTGCGTTTGCAGCACTTCTCGCAGAGGTCAGCCCGCCTCCGATTGCAGTTCTGCACATCTGTCTCCACTGGGAGGTCTCTTTCTCCACAGTCGGTGCAGGGGCGGTGTGCTTCCCAGGCCTGCAGGGAGCTCAGCATTTCAGATGCCCTGTTTCTCCACTTCCTGGCTGGTGTCTGGCCAATGCCACTATCTGCCCTCTCCACATCCGCTGACTTGGTCTGGGTGGCCTCACTGGGATCCAGGTCATCCTGGACATCATTCACACCAACAACCCCGCTGTCTGTGCTCAGGCTGCTGACATTACTCCAGTGATGTCTGGAGCGAAGGGAGACACGTGGGGTGCAGCGAGTCTCATCAAAGCTGCCACCATGGCCAAGGTTGGCTTTTGCTACCACTGGACCTGAGAACAGACACAAATCATTACAGGCACTGCAAGGTGTACAGAGCTTACTGAGGACCCCAAGCTGGCACAGCCATGACTGGTAAAAGCCCCAGGACAGCAGGCTAGGTCTAATGAAAGCAGGGCTGTAAGCTTTCTCCCTCCTGTTCTGCTGCTATGACGGGTGAGAGTCAGAAGTAACTGCCTCCCAGGTGAAGCCTGGGGCCTGTCATCCCTGCACTGCCGATACCTAGGAACTTACTGAGCTCTCTTTTCCCCTGCCATCTGCCAGGAAGGGACAGAGACACAGCAGAGTAGATCCTGATTTCTTGCACACCTGGGTTAAACCCAGAATGCTTCCCTCTCCCAGGTCAGCAGAATTACTCCATATTTACACTGGCATAGCATGGCTCAGGATCTGTCCTGTCAGCCCCCTCTGAGTGTGCAGAATGTGGGTACCATAGTCTCGCTCCTGCCGGCGCTTCTGTGCGTGCTGCCGTGCTGCAGCTGCAATCTTCAGCTCCAGCTGCTTCCTCTTCACCGAGTCTGTTGGCATGGGGTCACTGAAGTGCGGCCGCAGCCGGCACTCCCGCTGCGCCTTGGCACCATCTGCACTCTCATGGACAATGTTGGAACTGGACCGCCGGCAGCCAGAACTGGGGGTCTGCAAGAAAGGCAAGTGGGTTTGCACCAAGGTGGTGGTCAAAGCGGCCCTGGGTTTGCAGCAGCTGGACTTTAATTGCCAAAGTAGAGAAAAGGAAACTCATCAGTGGTGGGATTGTAAGTGCAGCTCTATTATGCAATCATTAGAAAATCTGACCCCCTAGGTTTCTTGGTCTTGCTGTCTTAACAGCAGGCACCCCTCTCCCTTTGCTGTCGTGTAGCTTTGAGTACAGTGGCTCTGAGAAGCCATGAAGAAGGCAACAGCATAGCCCTGGCTAAGGGCCTAAAGCACGGATGAGCCTGTCCTCAAGGGATCTGAGCTAGCTTGCCTCTACCTGTGAGTGTTTCAGTGCTGCAGGGTCAGAAGGGCCAGCCTCTATGCCTCACCTACATTAGTAGTTTGACCAAATGGGTACTAGGAGGGCATGTCTGATCTTTAGGACAGTGCAGCAGTGAAGGGCTAGTGGCACACTGAAAACCATTAAAGGGTTATTGCTGAACTCGTGCAAGAGATGCAGCAACAGATAGGCTGGGGCACAGAACTGGCTCCTGTTTCATTAACTGTAATAAAAAGGGAACTATAAATGCTTCTAACAGAGTTTAATTGCTTATGGGAGTCAGTGTGATTTCAGATCCCAGGCTCCCAGCCTGACCAGTTCCTACAACAAAGAGGTCCTTTAGATCTTCTGAGAGGTAAGAAAAAGCCCTGAACACATGCCCAAGATAAAAGGGGAATTCCTCTCCCTTACGCTCTCTGCAGGTGGAATGTCGCTGGGTGTCTCATTGCTTGGTTTGTCCTCCCAGGTCTCTGTTGCCATGGACATCGCTGTGGGCTGTTGGCTGTCCTCAGGAGGTGGGAGATCAGCTTCCCTCAGATCACACTGTCCCTTGGAGGGGGATTTGCCAGCAGTCTCAGCATTGCAGCTGCAAGGGAAGAAGCAGACTGATTAACATCACATATGCAGTTCACCTGACGTTCCAGATGAGACAGCACCAAGCCCAGGTTCAAACAATCAGCTGCAATGTTCAGGAAAGGTGCAGGCAGGACTGGTCTGCATGGATGGCCCTACATGTATTTCAGGGCCTCTAAACACAGCTCAGTTATAGCAGTACAAATTGGGTAATTGCACTCATGCCAGCATCAGTCTGGGATATCAAGCCTCAGGTATTCACAAGGCATTTTTTGTGTCCATAAAACATGAGGTTCTCCCACAGAGACCAAAAAACCCTCTTACTAAGTAGGCCATATCCATATTTGCTGCTATTTAAAGAGATGCTGTCAACACAGAAACCATATTGCTCATCTGGAAGAAAATCGCCTGCTAAAAATCGTAATACTTTAAAGAGATTAGAGGATTAAAGGATAAAACCTGCTGAAACCACCAGAAAGATTCCCTTTGCTTTCGGTGAACTCAGGATCAGGCCTTTTGGTGCACTTAAAGAGTCCTCAAAAGATTGCTAGAGTCTGTTGTTCTCACTTAGCAATTCTGGGATGCTCTTATTCATGGCTGTCTGGTGCTAACAAGGGCCTGGCTGGGCTGATACAGGCAGCCTATTCCAGCCCCATGTTTCCCTCTCTGCAGACATCACCACCCCTCCAGCCAGTCTGGTGCAAAACCACTGACTTGACAGGGTACTTGACAGGCTTGTTTGTGATGCTATTTGTGATGCATTTTTCCAACAGACTCTCTAAGACACCTTTTTCCATGCATAATGAAGCCTGCTTGGAAGACTATTAATACTTTGGATTCACTTGATTTTTATGGGCTTGGATTCCTTTAAGAAAGAAAGGTTGTGAGGACTGGATATGGATGTTTGTACATACAGGAAGCCAGTGTCTGGAACATATTTTGGGGTATGCATGTATTTTATGCTTAACAAGAGCCTCCTATGACAAAAATCTACTGTTTCTTATAGGCTTCCCTTGTGAACTTATGCTGATAGGTCATACTGCTAATGTGCGGTTCCAAGTCAGCTATAAGCAAACACAGGAGACAGATGGGCATCTTCCTTACAATGCATGACAGTTGGCTCTGAAAAAAAAACCCATAACCTATACTGAAGTTGCTGAAGAGGGAACGAATCTCCCAGAACACAAACTGGCTCTGTTATCAGGCCAGAAAAGTTGGTTTGCAACTTCCTAGCTGATGCTTTTCCATCTTCCTCTGCTTATGCTTTCAGGCCCCAGCTGACACTACCTGAGTATTTACCAACTTAAAGAGTTTAGCCAGCAACAGCACAGTGCTAACAGCAGGCTCCTGGCTTTCACTTTTTGCTGTGCAAATTCCTGGCCATGTGGATTTGGAAGCATAGCTTGTCTCCTGCAGGCCTTTTCTCTCCAGTCTGTAGAAAGGGGATATCAACATCAGTGCTGTCATGGAGCAGTCTGTAATACAGACTGTACTAGCCCCCTTACAGGGTTGAAGTAAGAGCAGTGCAGGCACACAGCAAGGCTGTGGTCCCACCATGGTAGTGTCCTGCCCTGGTCTGGCTTAAGAGGTTTCTGTCTCCTTCCTTCCTCTCATCCCCAGTCACATTTGTGGTACCACTCCTTCAGCTCTTCCACTGTAGCTCTCTGTGTGGCCATGATCTAAAATCAGCCTTGAAATTATCTGGTTTTACAAAAATATCCTCCCTCATGCATTCGCAGCCAGATCATTTCATGGATGTTGTGTGAAGTGTGAAAAGTTCTGTGGGAGGGAAGGCAGTGATTAAGGAGCAAGAAAGCTCTTGAAGAAAATCTGCCACTGCCAGAAGCCACAATTTTCAAAAGCTCCTCCTGCTCAAACAGCTTCTGGTTGAAACATGCAGAAAGAATGGATCATACTGAGGCAATGGGATGTGTCCAAGGTCAGTAGCAGAGCTCAGAACTGGATCTTCTTGAGCACACCACCTCCCACCATACAGACCATACTCTCAGAGAGCCATTTGTCATTTTTACAGTGCTTCCAGATCATCCACTTAAACATGGGAAGTACTCCACAGTATTATTGCTCCTCTAAATGAAACTGACAGTAGCTCTCTGCTGCTAAGACAGACCAGATGCCACTGCTTATTGTGGTTTCCATAACCCAGAAGGGATATTTATAAAACATCTCCAAACATGACCTGCAGTTGGAATAAGAGCCAATACTACTCAGACAGCTGAGCAGGTGACTGGAGACTTGCAAAATTCAACAACCCTATGACTGGTCAGCTAGAGGTAAGAAAGGCAGCGGTGCAGAAGCAGAGGCACTGGGTGTGCATGATGGAAATGCACATCCTTTCCTTCACGGTCTCTCGGGTTGTACCATTGTCCAGGCCAGCAGTTCTCAGCCCTTTGCATATGTTTCTGACTTTATCTGACCACTGGAAATATTTTGGCAACTCCTTCCCTGCTTGCACCTGCTTTCAGACTTGGAGTCCTCTGCTATGGGAAGCTGTTATTGTACCCACTGTCTTGGTGTCATCCCAAATACACCCCATCACTCTTTTCAGGAAGTCTTCTTTCTTAGTCATGCCCTTTGCTTCCTTTTGCAGGTTTTTGTTGCTACCTTTTTCCCACTTCACAGACAGGAACCCCAGGTCTTTGCATGTCCTTACCCTGAGCAATTTGCTGTTTAAACAATTTCAGAAAGTGGACTATCGATTGAAATGCCTACAGGATTTCCACCTAGATCTCAAAACCCCTTCCCAGCCAGGACTAAGTTAAAGGTATCTAGTGACTTATGAGGGAGCTAAAGGTGCCGTAATTATGAAACTGAAAATTAAATCTTCACTGATGAAATATTAATCCATTTGAATGAGTCTTAAGTAATTAACTATGAATTACTAGGGAGGCAACTAAGTCACCAGACAAAACTGCTTTGTAAAACTGTAACACACAGAACCACTAGAAAGAGAAGACAATTTCAGCTGTCATACTCTGTGATGCTCCAACACAGTATCTCTATCAAAGTCTTGCTGAGCTCAGTATCTGTGGAAATGGGACCAAATCCCCAGCTTTCAGGTCATTTCATTTGAGACTTAGAAAAAAATATGTCCTGGTTGTCAGTGATCATAATTTAGGACTCAAGACATCCAAACAGAAAGTCTCCCACCTCTGCAGTGAGAATCAGCTTGAGTTATAAATGAGTATTTAGGCACATTACAGTCTCAGGTGAAAACAATGGAAAACAGAAATTTCCAGATAAAAGGAAACTGAAATTTCCCACTAGCCAGTAATTTGGCACTGGAACAGATTTGTTTTCCTCCTACTAACCTGAAGAAATGACAATCTTTAGCATTAAATGTTATCACTATGGAAAATAAACAAGCCAGCGTGGTTCCTTCACATGAAACAACCTCTCTGCTACTGGAACCACTGTCATTCACAGTTTTAGATCAGTTTTGATGTTCATAAAATCACGTCATATATTTTGACAAATCCAGCTGGGGAGACTGAACACATTTGCAGGAACAAAACCCACTGCAGACATTAAAAGTACAGAAGCCACACTGAAAACATGGAAGCCTTGGGCAGAAAGTGTTTGGAAGCAGGAATAGTAGTGGGGAAACAAGATCATATGCACTACCCATATCCTGTATACTTTGCTATGCACAAGCCTCGGGTTCCAGGTACTAGTCAAACCTTTCATCTGCATGGAGACGCCTGTTATTATCTTCCATCTTGTGCCGTTCTGTGTATTTCATTTCACACCTGATAAAAATAGCCTACTCAATAAAAGTGGTTGCATACCATAACTCTCATATGTTTCTTCATTGGATTTTCATACTCTAGAACAAAAGCACTGGGTTGGACAGCAGAAGAAATCATTTAGGGCTCCAACACCACCTACTTCCCTTTGGATTAGAAAGTTCCAGAAGTATTTCTACTTGTCACTCTGACTCTGTCTACATGGGCAGCTTCAGTGTCTTTCAGACAACTCTCATTCCTGTGCAGAAGCCACTATCATCTCTAAAACCCAAGTCCAGTCTCTGAGCTCTAGCATTCCAGAAATACCAAGCCAGTGTACAAGACTGATGTCCTGGCATTTCACATACCACATCTGTTGGTGTCAGAAGCAGCCAAGAACCAAGTCAAATGCAATTCTTGGCAAAGCCACTCCTGAAAGACAAGCGTATGGAAACAAACCACTTCACCAACACTTACTCCTCCTTTTCTCATCAGCCTTATCTAGTGATAAGACAGTGACAACTGCCCCAAATTCCTGGCTTTCAGAACTTTTTTCATTCCTGTTGGGCCACCTGCCTGCACAGAAAAGGATCCCCATTTCTTTGGCAGGAGGGAGGTAACAGGACTGCAGGGTCCAAAACCAGAACAGAGAAAGCAGTCCTTGTGAACATCTTACCCAGAGAAGGGGAAAACACTGGAGAAGAAGGAGGAAGGCTTTATGCAAGTATTTTCTGTCACTGCTTACGCTGAGTTGGCAGGAGGGTATTTGCAAGTACTTTCACTCACTGCCTGTGCTGGTCTCCAGAGGGTATTTAGAGACTTGTGGCAGCAGCCTTGCTCTTATTTGTTCGCCAGTTCACTACATACAGGCAGCAAGTAAAAGCACTTGTTGCTGCAGGTAACACTACCTGAACTCATGTCCTACAGTGGTGGGACGGACTGTTTCCAAAAGAATCATTTTAATACTTTATATCTCTCCAATGTTGTTGACCTCTAACAGGTTTAAAAAAAAATGAAAAAAGACATTTCAACAATTTATTACATAAATAAAATGAGTGGAAAACTGTGTGTCAGGACTACTAATGACTGCGTCTTACAGGAGTAAGGTGTACAAAAAGGCAAAGTCTAGATGAAAACTCTTTCTGATGTTCAATCCCATACAAAGATGGAGTTTAAGCTCAACAGCTTAAAGACATGTCCATGTGGCTGTCAGAGCCTCTAAGATGAAAGGCTCTGCCAACAGTATTAATGCTATGGGGAGTTAAATGTACATGTCAGGAGGGAGACCAGATCATTAATAAGGGAACTTCTTTCAGGTGACCCCACAGAGCATGTTACCTTTTCTTAATAAGTTCCAAGGCTGAACCTATGAATTCGTCCTTCATTTTTTGTAGCTTAGCTCCATAGCTGGATAAGTCTGTGGCTTCTAACAGCAGCGATGAACAGCAAGAAGACTGGGCTTCAGAAGCCAGCGACTGCCCTGCAAGGTGGAGGACATCATTTAATTGTCTTGTCTCTCCTTTCTGCTGCTCATCACTGAAGATCTCCTGCCCAGCTCTATGTATCGCTACTGCCTGTAAAGGTGATAGTGGAATAGGGCTAGAGCAAATGGGGACCGGTGATCTATCTGGGCTGCAGATTTGGAAGGTTCTGTCCTTCATGTCAGGGCTGCTCATCCTGAAACCATCCCATGTGTTTGGATATTGGGAAAAGCCAGCAGAGGTGTGGTTTTCATGGAACACATCATCATCATCCTCTGCTGTTACAGCAGCTTCATTTACAGCTTTAGTCCCCAGAACTTCTGGACAGACATTCTTACTGCTCTCCTCCTTCAGGCTCTGGTTTGCAGGCAGACCCTTATTCAAGGAATCCACTGGCCCGCTGCTGCTGGCGGAAGAATTAGCCGCTTTACTTCTTATTTGCTTGAATTCCTCAAAGGTGGGTATGTAAAGCCTCCCTTTGCAGAGGCCTTTCTTGCTCTGTCCCAGTGTAGATTTGACATCTGTTTCCTTACTATATTGTTCTATGGTTTCTGATGTTCTGGATTTGGCCATCTCACGGGTTTCCCTGTCATGCTGAAGGGGCAAACTGGGGGAGCTGTTCTGCCTTCGGACCTGAAGCCTCCTCTGAGCCTCCTGTTTGATGTCTTCTGGACTGACAATCCTGTGTGCAAAACACAGACTCTGCCTCCCTGTGAGGCTGTGCCTGAGAGCAGCGTGTTCCATCAAAACTGTGCAGCAGTTGACAGCACAACCGTTCCTGCACTGCTGGCACACCTGGCATGGAAAAAACTCCCGAGCCATCAGGTCAGGCAGTGCCACTTCTGGACGCAGTGGCTTGCAGAGCTCTGCCACCTTACTATTGTGCAGCCTCAGTTTCTCCTTCAGCTCTTTTTTGGCATCCCCGTGTAGAGCTCTTTCCTCTGCAGAAGGGAAGAGCCACTGAGGCACTTTGGCAAGGGGAGCAAGGAGCACATTCTGTGCTGATCGAGATGTCTGTTTAGCATGGAGAGAAAGGTTCTTCGGGGAGTCTGATGGGCTCTGTGCTGGGGCCACATCCACACAACCTTCTGTCCACTGACTGGTGCCTCTGTAGCGAAAGATGATCTCGTTATCCAGGCTCCGGCAGTGAGAATACAGCCCAGAGTCAGCAACTGTTGCCCACTGAAGGTTCTCCACGCTCCGATACATCCGGTTTTCCACAGGACTGGCCAAAGGTGGCTTGCCTGTGTGGCAGCAGTCTAGAGTGTGGAAGTTCCCAGAAAAAATATGGGTGTCTAGGTTCTTTAGTGGATGCATGCTGTCAACTGAAAAATCCTTTAAGCCATGTTGTGCATAGAGCTGATTATTTTGGCAGCTCAAGATCACCCGGCAGTGTTCCTGTCTCTCATCAACACTGATGTATGTCATAGCAAATGCACATGGAGGCTCTAAGACAGTGGCGTCTAGGGGGAGAGAAGGGAGCTGGGATGTTGCTTAGGTGCCAGTCAGTGTCCACAGACCACAGACAGCAAAGCGTGCTGCCGGGTACTCACACAAGAGAGCTTTCACATGGGTTGAGTCGCCATGCGTAGAAGACCTGTGAATGGAAGGAAAGACGAGTTACTGAAGCAGCCTGGTGATGGCTCACAGGATGCAACAGCAGGTCTGCTTCCAGGGAATGCAGAAGCCAAACACCAACAGCTCAGGTAGAAACAGAGCAGCATAACTAGGAGATGAGCCACGGGGCTTGGGGCAGGGCATCTTTTCCATGTCTAGAAAAGCCAACAGTGGCCTTACACTCCCCATCTGAATTTGGAGAAGCTCATCCTGCCTACCCTTGCAATTCTCCCACAGTAACACTTTCCAACTCTACTGATGAATGCTCAGAAGTGTTTGCTGCAGGCTTAGCTTACTCACACAGCAGCGCTTACAAGAGATTGTAAGCCTCTTTCCCTCAAATGGGGTGCAGACAAGAGTGTGTGGGTTAAGGAGGAGGCTCGGGTGGGAAAGGATGACATGACAGTGTGATCTCCTGGAAGGCTCAAGTAGCAAGGAGGAAGAAGGAGGGTGACTGGTGGTGGTTTTGTCTCACTGCTTTGATGCTTTTCTTTACCCTTTATGGGGTAGATGCATATGATCTAGTGACTGGCAGCCAAGCATTTCCAAGGCCTTTACAGTGCAGAGACAAACATACTTCACAGACTTTCACAAATGCACCCTCCTGACCCCTTAGCAACAGCCCCAAATGATCATCCCCATGACAGCTCAGTAGAGGCCCAGAAAGAAAAGGTGGTTTCCAAGTCTGTTCCTATGATCTGTGTTCAGCATTGTAAGGCCTAAGGGAATGTAAGTGACCAAATCACATGTTCAGAGCAATGCAGAAAATGAAAACCCAAAACTTCAGTTTGGGTAGGCAGGATGAAGTGTCTAAATCATCCTTGGAAGTGGAAAGACCCTCCTTACATTGAACATAGAGACTGCACATTTCTCTTATGAATTCAGGCCTCATGGACTTGCCAGTCACTCAAGATATCAGTGTCTGCTACAGCCCTATGCATTCCCTTCCTTGGCAGCCAGAGGCAAAGGGAATGAGTGAGAGCCACAGGTAAAGGAGAACAAGACTGGCAAGGGATGTGGGGTTCTCCTGAGATTCATAACGGCAACATAGAGCTGGGATGGAGGGGCATCAGTCTGTAATAATAAACCAGGCAAGAACCAACCAGATTGAACACCCAGGAAGAGGTCTTGATAAAGCAAGACAGGACCATGTAAGCTACAGCCCAGACTATGCAGCTGGGTTCTCTCCATGCTGCCAACCATTCAGGCAGCACAGCCGCCTTGACCAGGAGGGGAATGAGAGGCTTGTTACTCCCTGAAGGCTAAGACACCTCAGGCATTTAACCATGTGAGGCACCAGCATACATCTCCCATCTGAGAAGTGTGAGGCTCTGTATTGCCTGGAAGCTAATCTTGGTAACTCACTGGTAGCTTGATTCACCCCTTGCTTAGAGTGGGTCAAGTTAAAATACTTCCCCCGCATTCTCTCTAATCCCAGAGACAAAGGCAAAGCTGTGCCTGTGGATCACTCCAAAATGGACAATATTATTCCTGTCCTCCATAACTGCTAAAATTAAAAATCAAAGCTAGCTCTCAAAGTGTGGCTGTTCTACAAGATGTCACAGGCACTTCTCACCCAGTCTTCTTGTGATGGGGCTGGAGTTCCCCCTTCTTCACGGCTCTGGAGGAGCCCACAGGCGACAGCAGAGAAACATGAGGATCAGGACTTTCTGTGAGCATAGGTTAGAAATGATCTGTCAAGAAAGAGAGAATGAGATGGTGTGAGAGCCAGCCACCGAGTAGAGAACAAGGCTCCTGGTAGTGCTGAAGGGCTCCTGTGAGAAAGTGCTGTTAATGAGAGATGCCATGACCTGTCAGGTTGGTCTGTGATCAGGTCACAGCCATGGGACTAAAAGCTACCATGTACTTTCTCCAATCTGGTTTCAGACCAAATAGAAAGAAAGAACAACCTTTACTGTAGTGAGGGCTGAGAATAAAGTGGTCCTTGCCCAAAGCAGCGAGTTACACATAGTAAGGCCTGAAAAGAAACTAAGACCCGTGTGAGGCAGGTTCGTTTGGCAAACTCTGTGTGTATGCGTGCGAGAGCAAGGAGGCTGGAGAAGAAAGTGCACAGGCAGGGGGGAGAAGCAGTTACGAGAAGAGCAAAGAAGCAGAAGCACAGGAAAACCAGGGTGGGCTATGTTTGTGGCTGCTCCCTTCACCAACAGACAGGGCAGTGCTGAAAATACAACTGACTTGTGTCCTGATGGTCTCTTTTCAGGTGGAAGTCCAGTGCTGGGTCCCGTAGCGCTGACCCTTCTTTGGGCTGCAGGACAGCTACAGTGACAGCAGGTGTGGATGGCAAATCTACCCCTGCATGCTCACACAGAGAGTTTGCATCCCTCCGTTAGGTGGGGAGTGGCTCAACAGCCCCCTTAGCCCCACCGGAGAGCAGAGTCCTGTTTCCCCATCAGGCATGGAAGGTGCCAGTGTTGATGAGCTCCGCCAGGCAGCCCGGAGATGCTGCTGCTGCTTTGCCAGGACAGGATTTTCCACAGGATGTGCGTGCAGCTGCAAGAGTTGCTTTCAGGGCAGGAGGAGCTGCGGCAGAGTAGGGCAGGCAGAGAGTGAGGGACAGAAAGGAGGAGCCAGAAGCAGGTTTGCAGAGCGGAGGACCCAGAGAAGACAGAGAGCAGCCAGAGCCGGCTGTACGAGATGGCAGGAGACATTTCCAGAGGAGGCTGTGCGGTTTGCTGATACACTGGCAGGCACCAAAATTTACTGGATTAAGTGGAGGAAGAGGGGAATTTTCGTTTCAAAATAATTTATTTTAACCTTTGTCGCCCGTCAGAGCTGAGTTTTCTTTCTCTAGAAAGTGACTTTATGTTCTAAGAAAACACTTCAGACATGGGAAAGGCCCTTTGATGCTCTGAGAGCTCAGAGCAGGGGTGCACATGATAGCTTACAGGTGTGCAAGGGGGTTTGGTGCCCTGGCTGGAGTGAGAGGGAGCCTCAAATTGGTGAGCTCCGTTTCACCTCATGCCTGCAAGGCAGCTGTGGAGATCTCATAACAGCCAGCTTGGACAGGAGGAGCACCTTTCTTCCCTGTCACACTACCCTTGAAATAACCATTTCTTTCCTACTAAACTCTTCTAATCTTGCTCATTCCCCCCATGTCACTACCCTGAGGGCTGTAAACAGCAGGTCAGGTAGTGAAGCTTAATTTCACTGAGCACCTAGGCAAACTGCTGCCCAAGTCATGACCTATGTGCTGAAGCGCAGTCCGCTTTCCCTCAGGGACACTTGGCGCAGGAAGAAAGCAGAGATCTCTAAAACAGCAGGTAATTTTGACCTGGCCTGTAACCAGGCAGCACTGAGCCCTTCTCCCTCCTCCCCTTAAGCTTGTACTCCATTCCTCATGGCAAACAGAAAGGACATCATAGTTTCAGCTCAGATGCCTGCATTAGTAGGTCAGTGACACTGTTATAATATAAAGCATGTGTTCACACACTCAATTCTGAATTAATATGACCACAAGCATGTTCTAGGCACTCTGGTGGAGGACAGCACAAGACAGAGACAGAGAAAACCCATCTGAGTTAATATGCTTACGATTCATAAGCTGAAGATGATCTTTCAGCACATCAACCATTGCAGGCTCACAGTACATACAGAATATTTAGCTGCATTCTTGCATGGTCACTGTTGAAGAAACACTGGGAATTACAGCAACACGAAAGAGTTTGTCCTCCCATCACCTTAGAGATATAACTACATCCACTACAGCAGATGATCCCAGTTATGGAAATTAGCAAATGCCAGGGCAATGGAGAGAAGTAAATGCTAATTTCTCAGATGGTAACCGAACTCTGGGTCCTAATTTACCCTTGTCTAAAGGGACACAGCAGTCCTAATGCACATTATGTCCTCTTCCAGTTAAACCAAATAGTGACTCCCCAGTTCTTTGTTGCTCCCCAGTGTACAGGAACGCTGCGAGCTGACGCTACACTCCTTCGTTTACCCATCTGGGTACTTCCAGGCAGTCCTGTCCATGCTTCCCCAAAGCTAGGGCTTTATTTTAGTACAGCAATCCTCCAGGCCAATGCTAACTTATTCCATGCCAAATAGCATAAAGGAGCTTAGTGTTGGCTGCTGCTGTGAAAATGGCACATCACTGCTCTTCAATCACATTCTCTGTGCTATCTTTGCCTATTCCCTGGCTCAGGGACTGAAAAGCTCCTGGTGGTTATGAGCCTCGTGCCTTAAGTGAGCATAAGACTAAAGGCAACGTGTGCTCAGTTTATTTTCTACCATGTGATTCTCTTTAATCAACTTCTCATCCACTACTCTGATAAGTGCCTGTTTGGAGACTTGCCACTAGCCTTCATTTTCATGAAAAATCCCCCCCAAGAACTTACTTCTCAAGGATTAAAGCTTGAAGAATAAACTATTCCTTCCTATATACCTAAGAACTGTTCTGCTTGGTTGACCTTCTTAGCAAAGCACCAGACCAAGTGGCAGGAGGAAGAACCAGTCAAGCACAGGATAAGTTGTTCAGGTCATGTCCAAGGACTCCAGAGACACCAGGACAAGGGACCATAGGTCTTCACAAGGCATCAGAAAAGAGGCCACCAAATCTGACAGGGCTGAGTAGGTTTGCCAGTGCTGCTTCAAGGAGTTCACTGCAGCAAGATTTGGTCGATAGACTTGTCAAACAGGAAAGCTTGTTCCCTGAGATGGTGGAGAGCAACTTGCTGTTGTCTGGCCTCTCCTGCCTTGATCAGAGAGATCAAGTGAGTCTGGTACATTTTCGACTTTCCACATTTACATCATCTCAGTCACAAGGAAATTAACTTCTGAGTCATGGTCATCACACCAAACTCCTGTTTCCAGAGAAGGGGAGTAATCTTACTCCATCATGAAATAAGAGATTAAATTAACCTTCGGGTCTTATTCTAATTTCTCTGCATTGGGTTTTGCAAATTGCACAACTGAACAGAGGATGATTTATTCTGGAATACAGTCTCCCTTTTATTTCAGAGATCTAACCAGCTAGAGGGATGTGAACGGCACATTTCAAAGAGCTGCACAAAGGATTTCAGCAAGCTATACTATACTGCTGTGAGTTTTTTATTATCTGATAAAGAAAACCTCATGGACAGAGCATGATCTGTCTACCTCTGTGTCATGCACACCACTTCAGCTGCTTAGCAAATACCAGCAATCTCAAAGGAAAGAATTTGAGATACATCTATGTTTTCAAGTTAAACATTAACAGGAAAAATAAAAGTGCCTTGGCTGTGTTTGCCGTCTTAGCTACTTACTTAACCAGAGCTGTGCTGCAGGAACTAGTCAATGCAGTAGGAAGATTAGGTGACTGTGGTTTATTTCTTGGGGGTTTTTTTTTGTTTGTTCTTGAAGCTGAAACAGGAGAGAGGCTTATACAGAGTATGTTAATTGCAGCAGGAGAGGTACAGCCAAAGTAGTTACCTAAACCAGTATAATTTCCTGGGTTTCTTTTCCTTCCTAGGACAAAAACCTGAGCTTAACTTCTCTTGAGTTTACTGTATTACCACTGTTCTCACTGTCTACTCCATGACATAAATCAAGATTGCTAACAAGAGGAAGAACTGCTATACTGGTTTCAAAACTAAGTAATACAGAGAAAACCATAACCTCTATAGGCTGTTCATTGTATTTATAGTTCTTGTATATAAGCATGGACCACATTTCAGAGACAGCTTGGCATGGGGAACAAAGTCTGTCTTGAAACTCTAAAGATCCAGTGCAGCTCAGGGTTCAGGTGGTTGCTGAGAGCACAGGCAACAGCATTAAATTTCTGCTGTGCAATAAGCTGCTTGTCTTGTCACACAGAATCATAGAATAGAACCACAGAATCGCTTAGGTTGGAAAAGACCTTTATGATCATCAAGTCCAACCGTTAACCCAGCACTGCCAAGTCCACTACTAACCCATGTCCCTAACTGCCATGTCTGTATGTCTTTTAAATACCTCCAGGGATGGTGACTCAACCACTTCCCTGGGCAGCCTGTCCCAATGCTTGACAACCCTTTTACTGAATAAACTTTTCCTAATATCCAATCTAAATCTCCCCTGGTGCAACTTGAGGCCATTTCCTCCTGTCCTATCGCCTGTTACTTGGGAGAAGAGACTGGCCCCCACCTCACTACAATCTCATTTTCCTCCTTTCACATCTCTTTTTATTTTTTTCCCCCCACTTCCCCAATTCTTCCTCCATCTCACTGCATTCAGCACAAGTTTACACAGCCCATCTGTGGTTGCTGCTTAACAGGTACCATTTCTGAACCATTACCACCATTACCATTGTCTGAAGAAAAAGAACTGGTCTTGGCCATTGTCAGGGCTGACTGATCAGAGCAGCCCAAAGGTATACATATGCCAGCCAGATTTACCAGAGAAGAATCTATCCACATTATCTGTTGATTGTCATGGGAACATCCTGCTATGGTACACCAGGACGAGTGTAGGCATCACTTCATGTGAAGTTCTATTTTGGTCAGATTGGCTTTTAAGTAGTCTCAAGGCAGTGGAAAAGCTAATCATAAAACTTTGTAGAATCACTTAAGGTCTTAAGCATTCTTGTCTCCCTTTCTGTGGGGTTATTAAGCTATTTGGGAGCTTTGCTTTATTGACATGGAAGGTTTAACCTGAGAAGGCCTACTGCTCCACACATCTGTGCACTTGGCAGCAGTGCCTTTGATGAATTTTTCTC